ATTATTTCAGATAGAGGTACTCAGTTCACATCACAGTTCTGGAGGGCCGTACAACATAAGTTGGGCACTCGGGTGGAGTTGAGCACATCATTTCACCCCTAGATGGATAGACATTCCGAGCGCACTATTCAGATTCTTGAGGATATGCTCCGTGCATGTGTGACGGAGTTTGGAGGTTCTTGGGATCAGTTCTTGCCACTGGCGGAGTTTGCTTACAACAACAGCTATCAGTCCAGCATTCGGATGGCACCGTATGAGGCCTTGTATGGTAGGCAGTGTAGGTCCCCGGTGGGTTGGTTCGAGCCGGGCGAGGCTAGATTATTGGGCACAGACTTAGTACAAGATGCTTTGGAGAAAGTCAAGGTGATTCAGGATAGACTCCGTACAGCCCACTCCAGACAGAAGAGTTATGCGGACCGGAAGGTTCGTGATGTCTATATGGTTGGAGAGCAGGTTTTGCTGCGGGTTTCGCCTATGAAGGGCGTTATGCGATTTGGGAAGAAAGGGAAATTGAGTCCGAGGTTTATTGGCCCTTTTGAGATATTGCGGCGTGTTGGGGAGGTTGCTTATGAGCTTGCCTTACCTCCCAGCTTGGCAGGAGTTCATCCGGTATTTCATATTTCGATGCTCCGGAGGTATCACGGTGATTCGTCGCACGTGTTGGATTTTAGTTCAGTCCAGTTGGACAAGGATCTATCTTATGTTGAGGAGCCAGTGGCGATATTGGATAGGCAGGTTCGAAAGCTGAGGTCAAAGAACATTGCATCAGTAAAGGTTCAGTGGCGGGGTCAGCCAGTCGAGGAGGCGACTTGGGAGACCGAGCAGGATATGCGCAGCCGTTACCCTCATCTTTTCACTACTTTAGGTATATCTCTATGCTCGTTTGAGGACGAACGAATGTTTTAAGTGTGGGAGGATGTAACGACCCAGCCGGTCGTTTTAAGAATTTACGCCCCGATCCCCTATTAACTGCTTTTCCCGTGTTTGTTTCTGCTATTCTGAGTTGCCGGGAGGATTTATTTGGAGTTCCGGAGAGTTTTGGGACACTTAGCCCCTAAACGAGAGTTTAAGCTTTAGAATTTGGACCGTAGTCGGAGCAGTGTGAAGACGGCCTCGGAATGGTATTCCGCCGGTTCCGTTAGCTCTGTTGGGTGATTTCGGGCTTAGGGGCGTGTTCGGATTGTGTTTTGGGGGTCCGTAGCTTAATTAGGCTTGAAATGCCGAAAGTTGAATTTTTGAAGTTTCCGGTTCGATAGTGAGATTTTGATATCGGGGTCAGAATGGAATTTCGGAAGTTGGAATAGGTCCGTTGTGCTATTTGGAACGTGTGTGCAAAATTTCAGGTGAATCAGGCAAAGTTTGATAGACTTTTTGATCAAAAGCGGAATTCGGAAGTTTTTAGAGTTCTTAGGCTTGAATCCATGGTTAATTCGATGTTTTGATGTTGTTTTAGGTGTTTTAAGGATTGGTACAAGTTTGGAAGGTGGTATATGACTTGCTCGTGCCTTTGGTTGAGGTCCTGGGGGGCCTCGGGGTGATTTCGGGTGGTTAACGGGTGATATTGAGTTGAGTTTGGCAGCTGAAGGAGCTCTGTTGCTGTCATAATCGCACCTGCGGCTAGGGGACCGCAGGTGCGGGCCCGCAGAAGCGGAATGCTAGCTGCAGATGCGGGAGTTGGCGTGAAGGGTTGAAGCGCAGGTGCAGATGATTGGTCGCACCTGCGTAACCACATGTGTGGAAGGTGAGGCGCAAGTGCGGAATTTTGGTTTTAAGTGAAAACCGCAGATGCGGTGCTTGGGCCGCAGATGCGGTATTGCAGGTGAGTTGTAGGGACCGCAGGTGCAAAAAGCCTGGGTCAGAAAATATAAAAGGTTCCCTTCGCGATCTTTGGTTATTTCACCAGTTTTTAGACGGCTTTGGAGCTTTTTGGGAGATTTTTAAGAGAGAATTCAAGGGAACTTCATTGAGGTAAGATTTTTGAACATAAAACTCGATTCCTATGGTGTTATTTCACGGATTCGGCTTGTAATTGATGGAAAATTAGTGGTTGAAATTGAAGAACTAGGGCTTGTAATTGGAGACCAAATATTAGGGGTTTGAGGGGTCATTTGTGGTTGGATTTCGGTAAATGTGATGTGCATGAACTCGTGGGAGGATAAGGACTCCATTGATGTAAATGTTACCCGATTCCGAGATGTGGGCCCGGGGGGCGTTTTGGTTATTTTTCCTAATTTCGCGTATTAGCTTAGAATTAATTAGTTGAATTAGTTACTTGAAGTGTTATTTACATTATGCAATTTCTTTGAATAGATTTGGGACATTTGGAGTCAGATACTCGTGGCAAGAACGTGATATAGAATTGATTGAGCTGGTTCGAGGTAAGTGGCTTGTCTAACCTTGTGTGGTGGAACTCCCCTTAGGATTTGGTACTGTGATATCTGAAATGCATTGTACGTGAGGTGACGAGCGCGTACTTGTGCTGATTGTTAAAAATCATGTTTTCCATTTAAGTGTCTATATTTCGTATTTTACTTCACTGTTTACACTACTTGAACTTTGAGCTTACTGTTAGCTTAGGAAAGCATGCCTAAATGACTAAATTGCCTACTTGATCAAACTGCCTTATCTGAACTCTATGCAGCATGCTAGGTTAGAATTACCTGTCTATTTTGATATGAAATTGAATTGAGTTTATTATTTTTTTATTGTTGCTGCGTGTTTAGATTGGGACTACGGGCGGTTCCCGGTAGATCCCCCTTGTCTATTTATTTGGGACTACGGATGTGGTATTTCGGTAGATCCCACTGCACAGTGATATGAACTACGGGACAGCACCCGGGAGATCCACTGATTATTTACTTTTGGGACTACGGATGTGGTATTTCGGTAAATCCCCCTGCATAGTGATATGGACTACGGGACAGCACACTGGAGATCCACTGATTATTTACTTTTGGGGCTACAGGACGGGATCCTGGTAGACCCCCGGTTGTTATCTCTAAGTTGAGTTGTATACCTTCTGTGATTATTTGCCTTGGTTGTGATTGTCGTTTCTCTCATAATCTGCATTTCTTTACTACTGCTCATCTTCCTTATATATTATTGTATATGACCAGTAGTGCCCTGACCTTCCTCGTCACTACTCAATCGAGGTTAGGCTTGGCACTTACTGGGTACCGCTGTGGTGTACTCATACACTTTCCTGCACATGTTTTTGCGTGTGCAGATCCAGGTACTTCCACTCGGTCTTATCACCCTTGAGGCGATGCGCTTTCTATAGAGACTTCGAGGTATATCTGCCGCGTCTGCAGACCGAGGAGTCCCTTTCCATTCTCTGAAGTAGTATAGCCCTTCTGTATCTCATTGTTGTTAGACATTTCTGGAGTTAGAGCATTTTATGTACTCTTAGCTTGTGATTCATGGGGTTCCGGATTTTGGGAGTGTTAGGTTGAAATTCTTGGATTGTTATATGCCTGGCGGCATCTTAAACACTGTTATACTTTGTTATCTCGGTTTTTATTAGTTTCTTTTCCGCAATTATTTCTTTTCCGCATTTGTTAGGCTTACCTAGTCGTAGAGACTAGGTGCCGTCACGACTGTTCACAGAGGGCGAACTTGGGTCATGACAGAGGGAGTACAAAATAGGAAATGGTGCTGACTTAGGATGGCGGAATTCAATGAGCATTAAGTTTTTATTTTTCAAAAGATAAAAATAAATTTCATTTTTACTTGTCACTTTATGCATATCAAGAGAAGATAATTTTTTTTTCTGTTATACTCACAGTATTTATTACTCATTTCAAATCATTTTCTCAAATTCAATAAAATATACATCAATTAATATGGGTATCATGGTAAATTAGGCATTTCATTTATGTATATGTGCCCGCTTTTTATTGGATATTACACTTAATTAATAATGACATTAACTTAAACTAACATTTTTTTCCTTTCTTTTAAAAAATATACCGTCATTTTCTTAAAAATTCGGCAGCAATGATGACAAAAAATAATTATCACACAAGAATATTATTTTTTGTACTGAAATCAAAATTGGAGAATTGAAATTTTGGACTTTATTGTTGTCATGTTGATGCTATTAGTCATGAAAGAATAGAATAATAGATCAAAATAAGGAACATAATGAGAGAAAAAAAAAGAGTAACAAAACATACACATGGCAAGCGAGTGTGTTTCACTAAGAAAAATCCAGTTATGACATTTCAAGGAGATATTTATTCCACTTTAGAGTAATTTAAGGGGTATCAGAACCCCGTAAAGAAAAAGTGTATAATTAAAACTTCGGTGATAAGTTGAGGGCGTACTTATGTTTTTTTCCCAATATAATAAGTTACAAAACAACAAAATCATTTATTTCCCGTAGATAAAAGAAGTCAGACCTAAAGTGCCACGCTAAACGGAGAAAATCTTGTGTCGACGGAGTGAAGAAAGATATGACACTCTCTGAGTAACTGAGTGGGTAACTCTGTCCACCAAAGCTTAGACAAATAGAAAAACCTAACGTATTATATTTTTGTCTCCGTTGAAATTTGAATTAACGCTTACTCAGACATCTAAATTAAAATTACTAGCAACTTTAGGACAAGTACTTCAAACCAATCACAATATATAGCAATAACTTTAGGATTCTAGTTTAGATACAAACTAAGCAACAAGTCAACAAGCCAAAAACTAATAGCAACGTAGCTCACATTGAACCTGTCATGTCGCGCGATCTCTAATTATAACAACTCAACTCCTCGTTCTGAGTTTAGTTTTTCATTTTATGTTTTGGGACTTCTAATAGATTTGTATGAGGCGTAGTTGTTGAATTGAACAGGGTTGGTAGTAAAATATTTGAATTGTTAAGGTTTGTATGAGAGTTTTGTTATCAATAACGGTACACCTAGAATGATTCAAGATGATTCAACAAAGAGAATTCAGACATCACGTACGTAACTCATCTTAACCATTATAGAAGAAAAGATGAGTAAATTTATTTATCCAGTAATGTGAGCGATGAAAGACTCCATTTGTTTCTTAGTGGCGCCACCATCTTTCACAGACATCTTGATAGCTTGGCTCAACTCTACCGCTCTCTGTCTCATCTCTTCTCCTTTAATGGAAGTCATCAAAGTCCTCACTCCATTTTCAATTGTATTTGCTTTCACCAATTCATCTTTGTGTTCCCAATCCTTCACTACTAGGCCAACTTTTAACACCCTTGTTATAAGCACGTCGTTGAGTGGGTTGTCGGAATGGATTGGCCAAGTTGCCATTGGCACTCCCATTGTTAGGCTTTCCAAGAAAGAGTTCCAACCCGAATGGAATAAGTAACCACCTGTGGAAGGGTGTGCTAGAATTTCCATTTGAGGTACAGAATCTCTTGCTATTATTCCTCTTTCTGCTACTCTTTCTTCAAACCCTGTTGGCAGCTCAATTTTCGAAACGTCTGTTGTAAAACATTTCCCTTTTTTATCTGCTTCTCTTAGAACCCATATGAACTTTTGTTCAGATCTCTCTAAACCAAGGGCAAGCTCAATAATTTGTTCAGGTGAGAAGGTACTTGCCGTTCCAAGTGAAACATAGATGACTGAATTCTTGGGTTGTTTATCAAGCCACTCAATGCATCTATGGCTTAATATTCTAGGTGAAGCAGAGTACTCTTCGTTGTGTATATGGACCGGATTGAACGGACCAAGACCCCACACTGGCTTCTCACTTTGTTTAGCAAGTGCGTCGAGATATAAACCTTCTATATCTCTGCATGTATTGAAGATTTCTCCAGATTTAAAACGT